TTGTTTTTTATTGGTATTTTTTTTTTTTTTTTTTTTTTTTTTTTTTTTTTTATTTCTGCCAACCTGTTTTTTTTTTATTTATCGTAGGGCGACACGCGCTCCTAAGAGTACAAGAAAGATCTTCGACCCAGTGTCGTCTTGTCTGTCTTCCACAGCCTCGCGAGGCCGAGGAACGTCTTCCGGTACCTGGTGCTCATTCTGACGTAGAAGAAGATGTGGATCGACGAGTTGAAGACGTCGAAGTCGAACTTGACGATGTACAGGATGCTGTTCAGGAACTTGTTGACGCCGTTGACGTTGACGCCGGGGATGGCCACGATGGCCAGGTTCGGGATGTGCGTGAACATCAGGCAGACGAGGTACACGGCCGTGATGGCCATCACGATCTTCACCGTCTCGGCGCTCCTGGCCAGCTGTTTGTATTTTGTCTTCGTCCCGATGACCGCGCCGACGTTCGAAACGGTGCCCTGTCGCCATTTCAGCGACGCTTTGAGACGCGTGACCATGGCCACCGTTGCCACGGTCACGCACAGCATGGCGGCTGACGTGAGGATCATCGAATGAAAGATCGTGTTGGAGGTTATGAAAAAGTACCCGAGCGGCGTGTAGTAGTTCACGGCCTTGACCGTTCCGTTGTGCTCGGGGTCGACCACCCAAATGATGAACACGTTCGCCGCGTAGGGCACGTAGGTCAAGGTGATGGCCACGTAAAGGACTACCATGATGACGACCGTGTTTTTCACTTTAATAATCCGCTGGACTCGCAGGGGAAATATGACGCAGATGGCGCGCTCGACCGACATGTAGACCGTCACGAACGACGTGATTTTGTTCAGTATGACGTGGGTGTACGTGGCCGGCATGAACATTACCGTGTAGCAGTTCCTCAAGAACAGGTTTTGCGTCGTCGTGTAGTACTCGAAGTAGTAGCAGAGCGGCTGCGGCAGGATGAAGATGCAGCCGAGGAGGTCGGAGACGGACAGGGCGAAGAAGGTGACCGTCGGGCTGTCGGACGTCACGCCCTGTCGGCAAAACACCCGGATGTTGATGATGTTGGTGACGATGCCGAGGAGGGAGAATGTGAAGAGCGGCACGTGGAGGATCTGATGGATCAGTTGGTAGACCTCTACGCTGAGCAGGGACGTCGGGATCGAGCTGGAGACGGGTTCCGAAATGAAACTAAGATTTTGATTCATTATTTGCAACAGTATTTCGGGCTGAAATGGAAATAAATATCATTTATATATTTTTAAAAAAAAATCAATTTCAGAAATGCTCGTCACGTGGTATATGTGTTTATTTTATGTCATGCGCAGTCATCAATGTTCTGCTCTTATTTTGACTAAGTTTTTTTTATTGGTGTTGTAAATGAGGAGGTGTTTGCTTGTTAACATATCATATGGAGGTGTTTGCTTGTTAACATATCATATGGAGGTGTTTGCTTGTTAACATATCATATGGAGGTGTTTGCTTGTTAACATAGCATATGGAGGTGTTTGCTTGTTAACATATCATATGGAGGTGTTTGCTTGTTAACATATCATATGGAGGTGTTTGCTTGTTAACATATCAACCATATGATGCGGAGATACTGGAACAATATGTTTCGATTTAATTTTTTTTTTAGAAAAATGTGAAGTTAAAACATAAATGTCTTTCTTGTTTTCTTTTTGAAATCGGCTTTGGGAAAAAAAAAAACAAGTTAATGTACCGGTGTGTTAACATTAGGCTTGTTAAGACCTGCTCTCATTGGCCAATGCAAAGGTGTCCTTTTCATTTGTTACCCTTTTGATGAGGTGTCTCCTTCAAGAAATTGTAACGTGTTTACTTTTTTAGCCCTATCGTGATGCAAGTATTTTTTTAAATGTTTTTTTTAAATGTTTACCGAAATTAATTTAATAAATGTAGCAACGCGGTAAATATCATCTCGATGACTGTAGATTACGTGACTGAACGCAGCGTTTAAAAAAAAAAAATAATCCAAGATCATTCTATTAGCGGGTGTTTGAAGCATGTTAAAAAAGTAACTCTTATCAGTTTGTTTAGAAAAAAATTACATTTTTTAAAGTGCTGACTTACATGACTTACGACGCGCTGAGCTTTGGGTTTTTTTTTTTTTTTTTTTTTTTTTTTTTTTTTTTTTATTTTGTTTTTTTTTTTTTTTATTTTTTTTTATTTTTTTTTTAGAATTTTTTTTTTTTTTTTTTTTTTTTTGTTCTGCTCCTCGCCTCCCTTTTCTTTTTTTTTTTTTTTTTTTTTTTTTTTTTGTTTTCATTTCATGTTGCTGTTTATTTCATCCTATCTTTGTGTTAGTGGTAACATTGTGTAGAAATAGGCGATTTATATATTTTAAGGATTTTCTTTTTACTGGTTAAAAAAAAAAATGCGTTAAAATGATAGCTATAAAATTACCACTCACTTAAAACGTTTGTTAAAACAACTGCCAGAACACAATTTCGCAATGGACTTCCTTTGTTCAAAGTAAAAATCTGTGATATTTCTGATGCTTTCAAAAAAATAACCGCAGATCGAACGTTCCATTTAAAGTGACCCCCGTATCAACTGTTGCGTCCGACGGCTTTCAACTACGGAAACGTTACAAGTGCCGCCAAAACAACTTAAAAGATTGGCGTGAAATAATATAACTATTTGGAATTGTCTAGTTCTTCTCACTCATCACAAAATTAACACAACACAATCGTCGGAATTTCTGTTAGATCTCTTCGTAGCATTCCTTTCTTTACCTCTATATTTGTGTGCGCCCTTTATTCTTTCTGTAATTTGCGCGATTAAAGAATCATTTCCAGGCACCTCTTTCCTGTTGCATTTATCTCTCTGTTTTAAACCCACTCCACCCACACGCAAAAATTGAACGAATAAAGAGTTTAAAATTGATTGAAATTGATTTTTTTTTCTTTTTTCTAAAGAGATTACATCACTTCCCCCCCCACCTCCCCACCACCAACGCTCCCCCCTGTGTTTGATTACTCTCAATCCAAAACTCTCCAGAATTAACTAAACAACAGCTTAGAGAAATCTGCATAGAATTTTTTTTTTTAGTTTAATTTATTTCAAACGATCGTTAGTTACGTTAGTTTAAGACCCTGATCCAGAACAATTTCATCCACCTCAGCCAATAATTATTATTTTCCACAAATACCAAAGAAATTAATGTGAAAAGCTGGCATCGCACAAATTACGACAATAAACGTAGACATTTGTCGAAATATGTTTGGTGATAACGTAATGTTTTTGTCGTTGTTATTATTATTATTATGTTTATTTTATTTTTTTTACTTTTTTGGTTAAATGAGGTCCCGAGAGTCGAAGTCCCAAATTTTAGGGGAGGGGTGGTGTTGCCTGGGGGGGTGGTGTTGCCTGGGAGGGGGGAATGGGATCGCGGTGGGCACACAGTTATGTGCAAGTCAAGATATAAAAGTGCATCGGCCCATTGGTGGATGGTCAATTAAACAATAAAGGTCTTATAACAATGAAAAAAAAAAAACACATTTACCCGCGTCGATTATTGAAAACGATGTATTGTGTACTGACAAATCGAATCAGATGTCACATTTTCGTCTTGAACAATACACACAGGCGAATACTGACAGGTGAAACTTTAAAATCTATTATCATTAATACATTCCACTTTGGTATTTTAGTTAAGTGAACAATTTCAAATTTAAAACAACAAAAAATCATTTCAGGTGATGTGCAAATGCCATATTCTGGCCTTCACCTTTCCAGGCCAAATTACAAATGATGAATCCGATAACTATGTCACGATGACGATGGTAATAAAAAACAATAACATCTTTTTTGTGTATTGTTCTTCTATATCAGAACTGATAAATAATAACATGAGTGGTGAGTTGAAGGAGCAGAGCAATGTGGACGGTTTTGAGAGATGTTGATGGTGTTGTTTTGTTAGAAATAAGTGGCGGGTAAAAAATGAACACCGTTATTTTTTTCAAGATCTGAAATTCTCGTTGCGCTCGCTCATTCCCTTTGAGATCTTGCAAGACGTGTAAACATTTGTTTGGTCTGCGTATTCCTCGTGAGGCGGCACTGCTTCGCTTGACTAAACCACGATAACGTCATAAAAAACAGTTGACGACTTACCGTGGGAGCGAGTGGACAAGACGTAGTATTTGGATCTGTTACACATATAGATGAATCCAATGGCGTAGAAGGGGGGTATTGGGCAGTGCGCCCCGGGCGGAATTTTTTTTTATATGGAGGGGAGGCATTCTCAGCCAACTGTAGAGGAGTTGTGATTTTTTTGTCCATGATAGGAAGCGGCAAAGATCTTATCCCCCGCCCCCCCCCCCCCGATTGGTACTAGCCGTAGCTACGCCTCTGCATGAATCCATACCTGGATCACTTTATACTGTGACGTACTCAGGGAGCGGGATAAAGGGGGCCGGCCACCCCAGGTTTCCCTTTGCTTTCTTTATACAAAGGATCAGCCATTTCGGCAAACGACATAGTACTTTCCGTGATAGGGAGCGACAAAAATTTTGCCCCCCCCCCACCTGGTGAGGCACTAACCCTACCGAACTCCCTGCTTTGTTATGCAATTGATTTTTTGATATGAGAGACTTTTAACCCATAGTGGGAGCCTTGATGAAATGAACCACAACGGATTATATACCACTTTTTGAATCAAGTCTCCTCTGTCTCAGCTTAGACTGAAGGCGGCATAAAATTTGTTTAGGGGCAGGGGGGGGCTCCATAAAGGTAAGCGACGGCTCTGATAACGGGACAAATGTATAAATAACGGTGCTAGAAGGACATTCCCCTACCATACCTTCCCACTACCCCTTTCAACAACTATGGGATTGCAGGTTCATTTCCTCGTAACCGGCTAGGACACGACGAGATTGAAAGAAGTAAGACTGGACGAGGAAATCTCGAAATGACAGCAAGCTACAATGTTTAATACAGATTATTGTAACATCTGACTGCATGGCACTGAGCTATAAAAACTATTTCCTATATTTTTATGTACTAAATGCGCATTAATATATCATTGATTTAGAGCAGGTGCTTCTATAAAAAGACACTACAAAGAAATCAGATCTAATTTTCTAAAGACGTGAATACTGCGAAAATAAAATATTATTACATACAACGGTGAAATAAGTATTAATTTTCAAGATTTGGCTGCGACCCTTCTAGAACATGATTAGATCATGGTGGATAAAAGTTAAGGTGTATTTTTCTTTCTACACCAGTTTAGTAAATGGATAAGCGAAGAAATATCAATGACAAAAAAAAAAGACAATTCTATTTGTTAAATTCAAAGATAAGCCTGCAAAACAGGTTTTTTGAAGGCCATGTTGTGCGTTTGACGGGTTACAACTACAGATAAGACGTTATTACCGACAGAGATTCTCAAATTTTGAAGAGGAATAAACCTTGGAGAGAAGTTCACGGGTCTCAAAATAGAGTTTTAGGTAAAAGAAGAAATTTTTGGGGCATTTCATTTACAGAGTCAGATGGTACCTGATCGTAATAATTTAAAAGTATGTTTGGCGTCACTCTCCTGAAGAAACTTGGGCAAATAGTTTATTTTGAAGCATCAGCTATTGACCAACTACAGAGGCCCCCACCCTCTCCATGTAGCTGGTTGACCCAGGGGCATCTTCGAGTGTTCGACACAGTTGGGCACCATGGCGTCGGAGGATCTCAAACATCACACCACCTTGATAGCCCCATCTCTGTATTCTTCTGTCAATGATCACTCCCTTTGCCACGAGTGCTCATGTACATCCTGATGTTAAACCAACTTTAAGCCCACCCACCCCCTCCCCCAACCCCACCCCCAACCCTGCCCCCCCAACCCCACCCCAAACTCAGTACTCCCTTTGCCACGAGTGCTCATGTACATCCTGATGTTAAACCAACTTTACGCCCACCCCCCCCCTCCCCCAACCCCACCCCCAACCCTGCCCCCCCAACCCCACCCCAAACTCAGTACGATTGAAAGTCAGAGATCCCATTCCAGGAAGTTGGGAAAGGGCGCGAATTTTAGTTATTTCCATGGTTTCTATTTAAGCCACTGGCATTCGAC